TATGTATATTAGTATATATCTCTCTATCTGTGTTTCTCTGTGTATGTTATCTGGGTGTTTAATCTTTTTTTTTTCTTTCTTTATTTACTTCTCCTATGATGGTGTTTGATCCAAGAAACAAAAAAAAAAGGTAGGGGTGGAAAAAAAAAAAAAAGGTTTAATTACAGAAGAAAATAGTATTAACTAGTAGTAGATATTGTTGTATATCTATACATATATATATATTCTGGTAATTAAAAATACCTTTTTTTAAAAAATTTATTTATATCCTTTTTTTCTGCATATTTCTGTCTACTTTCATTTTTGTCTCATGACTGTTGTAGATATGGTGTCTAATGTGAGAGTGCAGAAAGACAATTTAATGATTCCAACAAATAGGCATCTTTTACGGGAGATGTTACGTATAGGAGTACCCTTGTCAATTTCCCAACTTTCTCAATTTAGTTTTATGATTGTCATGTTATGTTTTGCTGGTCATCTTGGCGTTCATGAACTTGGAGGCGTTTCTATTGCAATTGGCATCTTAAACGCAACAGGATTTGCCTTTGGTAGTGGACTTTGTGGAGCTCTTGAGACACTTCTCTCACACTCTTACGGAATGGATCCACAAAGTACAATGTATGGAGTTTATGCTCAACGAATGTTTCTTATTCTTATGATATTTACTATTCCACTCTCTTTTTTACTATTTTTTATCGAACCTTTATTGATATCTTTAGGTGAACCTGATCGTGTGGCAAATAATGTAGGAAGATTTTGTCGAATTTGTGTCTTGGGACTACCACCTATTATGTTGTTAGAGCTTTTAAGAAGATATTATGCAAGTCAGCATAGATCTAATCCCGTATTTTTTGTTTTAGCTCTAGCAGCATTTTTACATCCTCTTCTGCAATATATTCTTGTTTCTCTATTTGGTTACACCGGTATTGCAATGGGGTGGGTTGTTCTTTTCGTTTGTATGGATATTGCACTTATTCTTTATCTTCGAATTAGTGGTCTTTACCGTCATACTTGGGGTGGATGGAGTAAAGCAGCATTAAAAAATTGGGGACCTTTGTTTAGATTAGCTATTCCATCTCTTTTTATGGCATTTAGTGAATGGACAGCGATGGAAGTAAATTCTGTGTGTGCTGGATTTTTGAGTATTGTGGAATTAGGTGCATATGCGATTAGTAGTCAAGTAGCGAATCTATGCTGGAGTACAGTATCTGGTTTTTTTATGGCTACTACTGTTTTAGTAGGAAATTGTATTGGTGAAAGAAATCCTCATTTAGGAAAAACTTTTGCGGTTATTTCTTTTATAATTGTGATAGCCGTATGTTTTTTTAATGTTGTTCTTGTTTATACCTTTCGACAAGAAGTTGCATATATATTTACTTCTGATACAGAAGTTGTATCCATTTTTGTTGAAGTTACACCTTACTTTTTATTATTTCACGTTTTAGATGCTCTACAGTGTAATTTCCTGGGAATTCTACGTGGATGTGGATTACACGTGACGGGAGCTGTTATTGTTTTCACTAGTCTCACACTTGTGGGAACCCCGCTGGGTCTTTATCTTCTTTTTCATCATCACTACGGTGTGGATGCTCTGTGGATTGGGCCCATTGTCGGTTGTGCCGCTGTGGGAATACCGGCGTATATTTTTGTATTTCGCCACCGCATCCGGTGGGATGCCCTGCGGCCGCATTTGGAGGAGTCATCGTCTGCGAGTACTAAACGTTTTGTATTAGCGGGAGAAGAGGAGATTGGAGAGGCGTGAGAGAATGATGAGAATGAGAATGAGAATGAGGATAGTGGTAGTGGTGGTGAATTGATTTGTTTGTTTTTTTTTTTTTTCTTGTATTTTTCTTCTTTATAGGTGCGAGAGTAAACGCAGGAAGTCGCATTGTTTTAATGCGTTTAACCGAGTGAAATGGAGTACAGAACATAAGATGGGAAGAAACGGAAAATTCCGCAATTCTTATGGATATTTACTTTCAATCTTATAATATCAACATTAGTAACCCTAGTAATAATAATAATAATAATAATAATAATGTTGGTGATGGTGTTATTATTATTGTAATTATTATGGTTATTTTTGTTATTAGTGTTTAATTTTTTTTTTTTTGTTCTTGGCTGTTATCGTTTACATTTTTTGTACAGCTGCATATTTAATTCATGTATGTAGAGATAATAGTAAATTATGCTATAACCGATCGCTTGTTTTTTTTTTTTTTTCCTGCAGTACGGGCAACGTCTTTTTCTCATATTCTCGCCGATATTGAATATATATATAAATATTTTTTTTTTTTGTGAACGAAAAAAGGAAAAGAAGTAAAAAAAAAAAAAAAGCATCACCATATACTTCTATACACACATGGACGTATACAGTATTGGAGAACCATAAGGTATATTAAGAAATATTTGGAATACCTTTTCTCTTCCTCTTCTGACATTCGCTTCTCTTTTTTTTCTTGTTTCGTATTGTTTTTTTTTTTTTTTTTTTTTTTTTTTTTGTTCTTGTTGTTGCATTTTAACTTGTTTTTCGTTAACTCTTTCTCTTTCTCTCTTTCTTTCTTGCAATTAAAGCTGTTATTTGAAAAAATGAGTAACGCTGAGGATGTACAGACCTCTACCTTGCCAGGTGACCTGTTTCTATTCCCACAACAGAATGTGGGATTTCAAATACCATTCTTTATCTCTACAGAGGAAGAGGCCGCAAAAGTGCGTCCACCCGATGTTGTGAAGACATTAGAAGAACGTGTGCAGGAGTTATCCGACAAACAACGGGAGGTATTTGGCAGTTTTAAGAAAACAGTGGAAATGGCTCCATGGTACAGTGAGAAGGAACATGATGACTGGATGCTTATCCGTTATCTGTTCGCTCGTAACTTTGATATGAAAAAGTCTCTTCACATGTTAGAACGCACAGTGCAGTGGCGTGAGAAGAATGCGGTGGATAAGTGGGTGTGTGAACGGTGTTTGAAAGACCCTAATCATCACATGATGCAATTTGTCGGTTGGGATCTTCTTCACCGGCCGGTGTGTTTTATGGCAATGCGATGGGGCCCCGATCGTAAAGAGCCGATGCGGCATTGTGTGTCTACCTTCACACATTTGGAGAAATTAATGCCGGGTGGTGTGGAGCAGTGGGTGTGTGTGACGGACTTTGAGACCTTTTCGTATTTGCGAGATAGTAGTCCAAGTATTGCCCACGCAGTGGTGAAAACTATACAGGATCACTTTCCAGAACGTTTGGGTTTAATGATTCTTGTGAATCCACCGACAACATTTGGTTTACTGTGGAAAATGCTTTCACCTGTTATGGATGAGAAGACAAAGAAGAAGGTACTCTTTCTTTATACGCATTCAAAGCCAGATGCGAAGGATGCGTTTGATAAACTGTTTCCACCATTGTTGTCGAATTATCTTTATGAAACGTATAAAAGGAGTAAAAAAGGTAATTTACCAACAACACCGGTGTGGTACCCGGGAGAAAGTAACAACAACAACAACAACAACAGCAGCGATGTTAATAGTACGAACAGTAAGAATTAGATGAGAGATTTTGCACCCACACACGAAAAAGAACAACAACGCGCACACACACATATATATACAGCAACTTTCAATAACTCTTTCGATGCCGTCCTTGTTAGGAGATTATTAATAATAGTAATAATAATAATAACAGCAACAACAAAGAAAAGAACGACATTATGGATGTTATATAGATGATGAGATATCGGCCTCTTCAAACCGAGAAGAAGAGAAAAAAGAAAAAAAGAAAGGGCGTCTATATATAGGGATCCTGATGAGGAGGCCTAATACTTAATACGGAGAGGTATGTTAACGAGGGAATCAAAAGAGGGGATAATAATAATAGTAGTAGTAGTATTAGTAACAAAGAGGCAGATAAAGCATATGTGTCTTTGGTCTATTGGTGACTTTATTGTGCGACTCCCTAGTCCATTGGCTGACATAGATGACTACACGAGTTGTTTCTACCCCCGTAGTCTTTAATTGAAAAAAAAAAAAAAAAAAAACGAATGACGAGAAGAACAGCGTTAGAAGCGACAAAACAAATACAGACAAACAAACAGAAAAAAAAAAAAAACGGCAAGGTTTATGGAGAAAATTATAGTCCATGACCCTTGTTCTCACCCCTCAGAAAAAAAAAAGAAAAACAAAGAGATTTTTATTCGATCGTCTTCTTGTTCAAGTAAATGAATAAATAAATGTGTATACTGATACCATTTGGCTTCCTTATTGAGAGGTATATGCAGATTCAGGGTAGTTGATCTTTGTTTTCTTGTCGTTCTCTATGTGTTGGTTTCTTTGATAATTTACTGGATGTGTTGCTTTTTATGAGTTTATAATTACGTTTCGACAATAAATTGTGCGTTGTCTATATATATATATATATTTTTTTTTTTTTCCGCATATAAGTGTTCGTGTATGTATGGGAAACTTATTTATTCATAGTTCTCTTTGTATATGTCTGCGTGTGTGTGTTTGTGCGTCTACTTAATTTGCTTTTTTTTTCATGTTTTTGTTGTACTGTATGGTCTTCTTCGTCTTCTCTTGTTTGTCCATCTATCTGGAGACGAGGTAAAGGGAATCTTACCTATTACTATTATAAACAGAAAATAACTCCTGTATTGTTTCCTCTTTTTATTTATTTGTTTTCTTTCTTTTATTATTATCTTTCCATATTTTACAATAGAAGAATTTCATGTTAACCTCATCCATTGATAACGATGAGGATCACTTTCGTGAACGTCTGGATTCTATCAATAAAGAGATGCAGGACATCATTGATCGTACGGCAATCCAACGAGATAAAATATTTCGCAGCAGCGCCATAAGGTCATCGCCGTGGAGTTTGGCAGACGGTCAAATCATGGGAATTACAGACTCTATCAATATTCCTCATAATTTTTCTTCTACTACTACTACTACTGCTGCTGCTACTGCTGCTGATGTTGTTGTTGCTGCTGCTGCTCCTACGCAAAGGATTCTAGATGAGGCAGCTCTTAAACGAATAGTGGCAGATGAAATGAACAAGTGGAAAAGTACTTTTCAACAAAATCTTAATGACACCGTCAGTAATGTACACTCGGATGTGGATCGTCGCTTTGAGGCCGTGCAGAAATCTCAACTGGAACTTGCAGAATCATTGAAGGAAGCCGTAGAAGCATCACAGCGGAGTATAAAGGAAGTTCAGACAGTTCTTACTCAAATGCAACGTACATCCGGTCGAACCGTAGAGGATCTCGCTAGAGAACTCGATAAATATGTGAGAAAGAATTCACTGGAGCAGACTCGTTTATGTGATGCGGTTGCGGCTCTGGAAAATGAATCACGGATTGATCAACAACGTGGTGATCGTCGTGTGGATGAACTTGTACGTCGTCACCATGATCTTGTGCGTAACTCATTATTACAGTTGGATGCCCATGTGGATGGTTTACGTGATGAACTGCAGTCTACTCTGCGTGTACAGGCTCGTCAAGCTGCAGAAGAGAGCGATTTATTACATCAGCAAGTGTCTCGTGTACAGGGTTCATTAGAAGCGACAAATGATACCGTGGCAAGATGGGTTGCAGAATTACGAACACTGATGGAAGAGAATATCACTCGTCGCAGTGAAGTACGTTCATGTCGTCGTGATTTTAATCGACTGGAGATGTTGCTGCAGTGTCTTCCTGTTACGGATGGTAATAATAGCGGTGGTATCAGAATATCGAAGGAAAAGGGAAACGGAACTCAAGGTGATATAATGAATATATCCAATGGAGGAGGAGGAGGAGGAGGAAGAGGTGGAGGAGTTTCAAGAGAGGGATTTATGGCATTGAATGAGAAGGTTGATTTTCTCTCCACAAATATGCAAAAGATGGAAAAACAAATAGTAATGATGGATACAGCTTTGCGATCTTTATTTGCACGTGGGGGTGCTGCTGCCGCTGCTGGTAATAATGCTTCCTATTTAAGTCAATCCCATTCGGGAATGATGGAAGGGAGGAGTTATCGTCCAAGTCCGTTGGATACAAGAAGTTTTCATACCACTGATCCCTCCCAACTCTCACAAGATGTCTCTCCAATGAGTATGGGAAGTCAACATCAACAACAACAACAAATGAGGATGATGATGCAAAATCGTTCTTCTCTTGGTCCAGGAGTAATGGCAAGAGCGCACGGTGGATTGTCACCAATGAGTTCATCTACACCATCTCCAATGTCTGCCACTACACGCCTTGGTAACGCTCCAAGTTTTGATCCAAGAAAACAAAATCATCACTACCAACAACAACAACAACATCCCCATCACCAATATCAACATCAACAGCATCAACATCATTATCATCAAATGTTACTACAACAACAACAACAACAACAGAGACAACAAGAAGAAGAAGAAAAGCGTAGAGCATCGTTGATGGGTGCAGGATCAAGATCTCGTCATGTCTCTGGGGAATGGGGAAGTCCAGCAGATCGCTCAGGTCCCTCATCTCGGAGATTCCCTCAACGAATGGAAGATGTAATGCATTCACAACAGCGAGAGGTTCCGCATGCGTCAGAGTCCACAGCCTCTGAAGGCGCTACAAAAGGACCAACATCTCAAAAAAGTGATTCAGATGTGAGATCACATGTACCTACCCCAAGTGATTCATACGTGACTGATGCTGATGTGAATGAGCGAGACGAAGACACATCTATGCAGTATGTCCCTGCTCCTTCAAGTGATGTTGAGAGTGAGCTGGAAAATAAAAAGTTGGCTCGTTTGGCACTAGACTAATAATTTATGTTTATCAGTTAGTTTGTATATTTATATATGTATATATATGTATGTATGTATGTATGTATGTATATGTATATACAAGATTTCTCCGGTTTTGCGCGTTTACGTGTAGGTTTGCTATCTAGAATGTTTAGAGATTACGGGGGCAACGTTGCTTCATTAGACGTTTTCAAGAATAATGTTTTTTCATACTATGCTATTTGTAGCATCTGACCTTTTTTTTTTGCATTTATGGCTTAAAAAGAAAAAAAAAAGAATTTTACTGTACATATATACCTTTCTACTACTTTTCTGTGTGCATATATATATATATATATATATATATATCTTTGCAGAGATGAGGTAAATTCCAATGTTTTATACTTTTTTGGTCTGTTTTTTTTATTATTATTTTTTTTATTATTTTATGTGTGGGAAATAAGGAAAGGAAAAAAAAAAAAAAGACAGTGTACTACGTCTTTAGCTAGGACCCTGGGGTAGAAATGTCAGCAGTAGTTGCGAGTTCGCGAAGTACGGGGAAGGAGAAGAGTGATGGTTCCAAGTCATTCATTCGAGAAACACGTAGTGTGAAGATTCCACACCACCGCTTTCCTGCCCTTAAGAAGGTGTGGATGGAAGTTTACACACCCGTTGTTGAGCAGTGCAGATTGGAGATTCGCATGAACCTGAAGGCACGATGTGTAGAACTGCGTACATGCCCAGCCACAGTGGAGACAAGCGCAACCACCACAACAGGAAACACCGACAGCAGTAAAATTCTCTTGCAAAAGGCAGAAGATTTTGTAAAAGCTGTTGTGGCGGGTTTTGATGTGAAGGATGCTGTAGCGCTTCTCCGTATGGATGATGTGTACATTGAGGGATTTGAAGTAAAGGATGTTCGTGCTAATCTGCAAGGGGATAATCTCTCACGTTGTATTGGTCGCATGAGTGGTTCGCATGGTAAGACCAAGTACACCATTGAGAATGTCACTCGTACACGAATTGTCATTGCCGACACACATATTTGGGTAATGGGAACAACACAGAATATTCGTGTGGCGAGAGACGCACTGTGCGATTTAATCCGTGGAAGTCCAGCAGCGAAAGTATACACCCGTATCCGTGCTGTAATGAATCGCGTGAATGACACATTTTAGTATAATGATTATGTTTGTTGAGGGTGGCTGAAGTAATATATATATATATATATATATATATTAGAAACGTATAACAGAAATATAGAAGGAGGAAACTGGAGACAAAGTTAAAGTGAGTAGGAGAATAAAAAAAAAAAAAAAGGACGATAATCAAAAACTTCTTTCCCTCTTTTTTTGTGTTGTTTGCCATTATTCTTAGTGGTTTTAGCGCCAGTGCCGTTTTTCCTGCATATTAATTCGTATAAGATCAAGAAAAATGAACTATATGAGAAAACAAAAAAATAAAAAAAAAGAAAAAAAAAAAAGAGCCCTCCTCGAGGCTATCTCTTGTTTATTTTTATTTTCTCTATAACTCATACCACTCATTTTTTTTTTTTTTTTCTTCTATATATTTCTATGAATGGGTTTCTCCTCATTCCTTCCTTGTTATTTAAAGAAGATTTCCTTTTTATTTTCTTTCTTTTTATTTATTTCTATTTTCACAGGAAGTTCATTACCTCTCTGCCTCTCTCTCTCTCTCTCTCTCTCTTTCTCTTTTTCTCTCTGTGTGTGTTTGCTTCTCCAGCACTCATTTCCCCTCTCCGGTTAATTTTCAATGCTCGCCCGCATTCACCGTGTGGAGTTGTACAACTTCAAGAGTTACGCCGGGCACGTCACGATTGGGCCGTTGCGGGACTTCACGTGCATCGTCGGCCCCAACGGCTCCGGCAAGTCAAATCTCATGGACGCGCTGTGTTTTGTGTTGAGCTCCAAAACTGACGCGATGCTGCGCGGAAAAGACGCCGCCGACTTCATCCACCGCGGCGCCCAGCGGAAAGAGTGCAGCGTCACCGCCGTGCTGCGGCACAACACCACCCAAAGTGCGCAGAATAACACAGACGATGGTGGAAATCACACCAACCATACTACTACTAATACTAATACGAATGGTAATGGTAGTCATCTTAATAATAATAACAATAACAATAACAACATCGTTGAGACCTCCTTCACACGGGCAGTGGATCACAAGGGACGTATTACACACAAAATCAACGGCACTGCCGTGAATGAACAGCAGTTCTTCAAGGCGATGGAGAAATTTAATGTCGGGTCCCGTGTCAATAACTTTTTGGTATTTCAACATGAAGTCGAGGCTGTGGCGCAGAAAAAAGCACGACAATTAACGGAACTACTAGAGGAAATCAGTGGTAGTGGTGAGTTAAAGGATGAGTATACACGTTGTAAAAAGGCACTGGATGCAGCTAATAATGAATTAACGTTAGCATCCGTTGCCAAACGTGGGGCAGTGGCAGCTGTAAATCAAATGCGAATTCACAAGAAAGAGGCAGAAAAGTATGATGAAGTGCTGAAACGTATAACGGAGGAAAAACGAAATGAAGCGTTGGTTGAATTATTGTATATTGAAAACAATTTGGAAAGACAGAAGCAAGAACTTAATAATTTTATAGAGAAATTGAATAAACTTGAAAAAAGTATTACTTCAGAAGAAGATATGCGAAAAATGAAACGTGAATATGCTGAAATGCATAAAGCATATCTTGAAGAATTAAAAAAGAGTCGTAAAGAAGCGGATGCATTGCGAGAAAAACACAGTACATTGGAACGTATTAAAGTTTCTCTTTCTCACTTAAATCGTAAACGTGAGGTACAACAGCATGAACTGGATGCTCTCTTAAAGACAGAAAAAATGCAATCTAAAGAGGCACAACGTATTGATGAACAATTACAACAACAAAAATCTTTACTAGTTGCTTTTGATGAAAGATGCAAAGAGGAAGATAAGGCTCATACCACACTAAGTGGAGCATTAAGTCCTGAAGAATTATCAGAGTATAGAAAACTTCGAAAAGATGCAGAATGTGAAACAGTTGTTTTAAGACAACAACTGGAACGAATAAAGAGACAACAACAATCCCTTCTTGAAGGTCAGAAACAGTGTACGATAACTCTTGAAAATGTCAAATCACAGAAAGAAGAACTAACACAAGATATAGAACGAAATAATAACCGTATTGCAGAATTACAACATCGCACCAAGGAATTAAATGATACAGTTGAAGAAATTACACATGATATAAATCAAAAACGAACAAGTCTTGTATATGCAGAAAAGAAAAATAAAGAACGTGAATTAGAACTTGCAAAAATTCAAGAACAATTACATGAACTTCGTTTTATAAAAGAAAATGATAAACATGGTACACGAATGGCAGAAGCTTTACAAGCTTTACGTGCTCTTCATGGAATTCGAGGTCGTTTGGTAGATTTATGTACAATTCCTAATGACAAGTATCGTCATGCAGTAACTGTAGCTTTGGGTAAAAATCTTGAGGCCGTTATTGTAGATACTACAGAAGTTGCTATCAGTTGTGTACGTTACCTAAAGGAACAACGTTTACCACCCATGACATTTCTTCCTTTGGATGCTGTACAAGGTAAAAAAGTAGATGATCGTCTACGAACCTTTGGTGGTAGCTGCAAACCGGTTGTGGATGTTATTCGTTATGATGTTGCTATAGAGGCGGCAGTACAATATGCACTTGGTCAGACACTTGTTTGTGATGGAATGGCTGAAGCCAAACATGTGGCCTACGGTCGCTCAGATGGGGAACGATTTAAAGTGGTAACTCTTGATGGTTCTGTACTTTTGCGAAATGGCGCGGTACAAGGTGGTCTTGCCTCTATTCAATCACGAGCCCGTAAATGGGATGAGAAGAAGTATGATGATCTTCGCGCGGCGCGTGAACGACTGTTGGGTGATGTCTCTTCCACTGGAAATGAACACGGTGTTGGCTCTGAGGCGGCGATGGCCCGCACGCGGTGTGAACTGCGGGATTTGGAGGGGCGATTGGAGTTCACGCGCGGTCGCATTCACGCAGTGGCGGCGGAGTCCTCCACAGCGGCGGCTCGAGCGGCGAATGCCACACGCGAAGTGGCACGATTGCAGACGGAGATTGAAAAGATTGAAGCACGTCGAAAGGCATGTGATGATGAACTCGCACGTTGTCAGCGAGAGTTACAGAAGACACGTACATCCGTGACGGCAGTGGAGGAGCGTATCTTTGCTGCCTTTCAGGAACGTGTAAAAATTTCTAATCTTATGGAATTAGAAAGTAATGAGATTCGACGTGCAAAGGAGCGGGCAGAACAGCGGCAACAGATGTTATTATTAATTCATAGACTGGAAATGTCACTTGAGGCGGAGCGACGGCGTATTGGTGGACGTTCTGTGGATGATCTTCGTTCGGTGTGTGCTCGACTTGATAAGGAGATTAAGCAATGTGAACAAGATCTCTTAACATATGGGGATATTGTAAAATCTACAGAGAAAAAACAGATGGAATTAAAGACATGTGTTAGTGAATTAAAAGGTAAATTGGATACTCTTGAAGCGAATATTCGTCAACAGGGACGAAATTCTGAACAAGAATTAAATAAATTGGCTCAGGCCCGTAGAGGAGTAACGGCTCTTCAAGCCGCCTGTGATACACTTCGTTTACAGCGAATGAACGTTGTACGACGTTGTCAAATGGAAGAGATTTCTTTACCGTTAAAAACTGCTGAGATAAGTGGTACTAAGCGAACACGACCTCTAGAAAGTGATATTCTAAATTCAAGTGAATCATTCTCATTACTAGATGAGACACCTGGGAGTCAACAACAACAACAACAACAACAACAACAACAACAAGGTCGAACACGTTCTGTTGTTTCAGGAAAAGAAACTCAAGTAATGGTGGATTTTTCCTCTCTTTTGGATAATCAACGGCAAGCCGCATCTGATAAAACTCATCTTGCTTCATATAAACAACGTACGGAAGATCTTTTGGAATCTCTTCAACGTGCAGCAGAGACACTTGCACCAAATATAAAAGCTGCCACACGATTTAATGCTTCAGAGGACAAACTTGGATCCTATTCTGCACAACTGGAGGAAGCACGTGAAAAGGCCAATAAAGCATACAGTGAATTTGTAAAGGTAAAAGAGCTACGTACACAATTATTCATGGAAACATTTGAAAAGATTGCCGATCATGTGGACCGTGTTTATCGTTCCCTCACGCTTAGCACACGAGCCCACGCTGTGCATGGCTCCGCTTATTTAAGTCTTGAAGATGTGGAAGAGCCGTACTTGGCGGGTACAAAATATCACGCCACACCGCCTTTAAAGCGGTATATGCCGATGGAACTTCTCTCTGGCGGTGAACGCACAATGGCGGCTCTCGCACTTCTTTTTGCCGTTCATGCAGTTTCACCAACGCCGTTTTTTGTGTTGGATGAAGTGGATGCCGCGCTGGATGCTGGAAATGTGGAGAAACTCGCTAATTATATGCGACGGAATTGCTCTACAACACAGTTTATCGTCATTTCCCTGAAGGATCAACTCTACCACGTGGCGGACTTGTTGGTTGGAGTTCTGAAGAACAAACAGAAGGAAAGTTCTTCCATTTTGACAATGGATCTCCGTGGTTACCCGTTTTAACGGTTCTTGTTTTTTTTTTTTTTTTTTTTTTTTCTTTCTCTCTTCAGTCATTTGCGAAAAAAGAGAAGCAAAATTAAAATAAAAAAAAAAAACGGAGACCTTTGTCTACGTATATATATAAACAAGTATAGGAGTGCCATAGAGAACAGTTTGTATTCTTTTCGGTTGTTTGTGTTTTTTTTTTTTTTTTTATTATTATTATTGTTTACTCTAGCGATGAAACGGAAGCAAGAAAAGAAAAAAAAAAAGACAAAAAAAACATGAAATGAATACTAAAAATAAACGAACAGATTTTTGTTTTTTTTTTTGAGATTTTCCATAGAGATTGCCTGAAGAAATACAAGTTGAAAAAAAAGATAAGATAAACAAAAGATATTATTACAGAGTCATTTTTTTTTTTGTTGTTATTTTCGGTTTTATTATATTACCTAGTTTTATCTCTACCTGTGGTTTGGATTTGTCCTTATCACTTGAAAATGACATCCAAACCTTCTGCAAGAGCATTAATTTATCTTCTCTTTCTCCCTCTGTATATATATATATGCTTATATATAAATATGTGTGTGCGTTTTTTAATTGTATGGGAATTTCTCTTCCCATTTCTTTTTTTTTTTTCTTTTCTTTGTTTTACCCTAGAAGATTGTATAGTTGTAACTCCTTACATGAGAGAATAGATAGACATGTTGAATAGGGATATGCTACCCTCTGTACTGGTTCGCCCTGTATCTCTACAATACGCATTCACACATGATGGTTATTATGCTGTAAATAAGGATGCATTACAACAGACTATAGAAGAAGAAGAAGCAAACACAAGTGTTAGTGAGAGAGAGAACCAAAGTGTATCCATTCCACCTTGTCTTGTTGGTATATGTGAGTCTTTCCTGCCCTCTATAACAAAAGAAGAGTTTGAATATGCGGATGCTGTGCTAGCTACTTATAGTGGTGAACAAGGAACACCTTGGTAAATTTGCAATTCTGCTTTTGTTGCGTTATCGTATTTTTGTATCCACAGTACTAGTTGACAGGTTTGTTTTCATTTTTTTTGTTTGTTGTTATTATTATTGTTCGTTATGATCTTTTTGTTTCATATCAATTGGATTTTTTTTTTTTCATTATTTTACTCCTTCTATTTTAAATTCTCCTCATCATTATCAATATTATCATTTTTCCTTTCCTCCAGTGACTGTGGTATGCATGGATGCTAGTCACATCTTTGATGATATTCGCGAACATTTCGCATCTCAGCCGTACTTTGCGGAGTTGCAACACGAACTGCACGTGTTGAGTCGCCGAGTGGAGGATTCGTTCATTTCAGCGCCGCGACTCCCCGCGCCTGTTGTGCGGCCTGCCGTACTGGAGGCCATTTGTCGAAGTAAAAACAACAATAACAATAACAACAACAAACTTAACGGCAACAATCATCACACAAATAATAATGATGGATTGAGAGGTGAAAGTCAAATGGTGTATTTTAATGCCGATAAAAATCACCATAATGATGTTCAAATGAAACTTTATAATCTTGAAGCTGGTGGTGTGCAAACACCGCAACACATTGTGAGAGAGAGTTGTTTAGATACATTTTCACTTTCAAACCGTCAAGATGAGAATCACCATACGGACTACGGAAGAGGGATAGTGATAAGACCTGAAGAGGCACATCAAGAAGAGAAGGATGTTTTTAAACCTCTTAGAGAATTGGATGAGGCGAGTATTCTACAGCGTGTGCGTCAGGCTCTACGCATCTACACTCACCGTGAAGAATTGAGTGAGGGGGATATAAACAATAAGGAGAATAATACAAAGGAGAGAGTAAAATTAGAACGTGAGGAAGGAGGAATACTAGAAACTACAAATATTCCTTCTTCACACGTCACTTCTTCTTCTTCTGATCCTGAACGTGAACTGCATTGGACACCAGAAGTATCTGCACAGGCATTACCGGAAGCCACTCGATCTGTGCTCGCAGAATTGGATGAATTAGAGAGAACTCACCATGATGTGGTGGCCACTATGTTAATGAAGACACCGTTGCGGTTAAAACAGGAAAAGGAACAGACAGTAAATGGAAATAATAATAATAATAATAATAATAATAATAATAATATAGAGGATGAGATGCCAAACTCTGCAAATGAAGTGTATCCTATGAAATACAAGGATAAATTAAATGAAGCACGAAGGCCTGTCCAAAACGTGGGATCTGTGGAAACTAATTCAGCTGGTAATGCTGGTAATAATAATAATGATGCTTTTCCTTTTGGGAGAAATAGAATATCTGCACTTCGGAAAGAAAGTCTCCGACTACTTCATGATACTATGAATGGTGTAGAAATAAATAGGGAAAAACTCATTCCCAAAAATCTGCGGCAGTGGGATGCGGCAAATGCTCCTCAGTTCGGGAAAGATGCCGTTTCAATTCTTAAACCTCTGCACATGAACACACTAGAGACATATGATGCTAGACGTAAGTGGTCTAATGTATCCTTTCTGTAAAAAAAAAAAAAGATAGTAATTGTGGTTATTATTATTATTATTATTATTATTATTATTATTATTATTATTATTATTATTATTATTATTATTATTAATTGTTTCTGTTAT